CTGTTTAGTCATCAAATTAAAAACTAAATGGTATGAATTAAATAATTTACTAATTCCTACAAAATATTTAACTGGTAAGAAAAATATTAATAAAAAGATCAATTGAAATAGACTATCTTAAAAAAATACAATAATAATAAAACATAAACACAAATCTTTGTAACTTGGTAAGTAATGCACAGAACTTACAAAAATATAAAATGTCTTTAATTCTATTGGAATAGAAAGAATTTGCACACAAAATAAAAAAATGTTTATTTTAATGGTTTACTATAAAATAAAATAAAAATATATTTACTTGTCGAGTAGATAATAACTGTTGTTGTAAATAATTTATCTGAATATCTTTTTGGTCAGATGTTTGTAAACTGGCTTTCATCATTCCTATTTCATTTTTGTAAGCTTCCAGTTCACATTTCAGGTGATCATTTTCATCCTACCAAGAAAAGTATACAGGTAAATAGTAAATTAATAGTAAATTAATAGTAAATAATTAAGTATGAATCATAATATATATACATATAAAATTATTTATAATAAAATTCAAATAACCTGTAACTGTATAGGATCAGTTTTTGTTTTTGTCTTTTTTAAATTGCTTTCATCATCGGATAAATCCATTTCGTCTCCACCAATCATTTCATCTTCATCATCGATACCCAATTTGGATAGAGCCTAAATATTTAAGATCATTAATTAAATCGTAAAAATATTTTAAAAGTTAAAAATTTAAAAAAATGAATGGTTTGTATGTTTATACTTTTGTTGTAGCAGGTACATTACAAATTTGTAGGTAAACATATATATTACGCGCGATCCCTAATTTTCACATCAATCATAAAAAACTCAAGGTAAACAAATAAAATATAACACCTACCTAAATTATTTGGTACAATACAAATTCCTGTTAATTATACTCGTAAAATAATACAGCACACAGTTGACATCGACATGCAAATGAAAAATGGTTTTAATTTTATATTATTGTGCATTAATATTATTAATAACCATCAAAGTAATAATTGATTTCATAACTCAACAAAATAATAATGTAGTAAATACTTGTATATGTTAAGCAATAGCTATTATGTATAAGCAACATATTATGATAGTTATGTCTTTGGTATGAATTGTAAACAAACAATCTTCACATTTCACTATAGATAGGCAGTATATATTTGAGGCAACTAAATTAAGCAAAAGCTATTTTATTTGTTTCTTGTCTGTTTTAGTAAGCATAAAACCTACCATTGCCTGCTTCTTCCATGTCTCAATGTTCTTTCGCTGCGCCTTTGTGAAATGATCCCAAACCTTCTTGTGCGACGCAGAAGTAAACACTTTCTCGATCTGGGTGACTTTATACAAGGACAATAACACAGGCGGTTAACATATTAAGAAAAAAAAGAAAAAAAAAGAAGGTTTTTATAAATCAGATATCTTTAGTTATTTATAGGAAAATATATTACGCCGTAGTATTGTGATAAATTTTGTTTGAGTATGAATATGTAAATAGTAATTTTGATAAAAAGTTTAAACAGTTAACTATATTTAAAACAGTTCATTACATACATTATAATTTTAACAAATAATATAAAAGGTATAGAAATTATTATTTTTTGGGAAAAATTTAAATTTAAATATTTAAGAAAATTTACTTAAAAAGCAAAATAATTAATAAATGGTGTACTATTAAATTTTGTATTTAAATTTAAAACTGATAATTTTTATCATCTTATTTCTTTCTCTTTAACTGAACACCATAAGAATAATGTTTATGTTATAAAAAAACTTGCATGTCTTATTAAAAAGGAGATGTCAGATATCATCTGAGTAGAAATTTTAAGAATTTTAGGGATAAAATTGGATTGTTTTACTAATAATTCCTTTTCTTACCACCATCAAAATATCTTAACATAATTAAAACCTTGACCCCATTTCATACTTACCTTTAATAATTGGGAAGTAAAATAATAGTTCCTGAAATATAAATAACATTTTCAAATTGCTCGGAAATAGACTACGAAATTATAGTTTCAACTTCCAATGTTCACAAACCTTAATTTAATAACTATGGTTATTTTGAGTCTTAATTAAATCAATGTATTTATATTCATCATTACTTTAATACCATAGATGTACTAAATTTTATTCTTCAGTCATAAGCAATACTAACCTTGACAAATGCACAATATGAAATCATAATATTTGTAAAGTGACCCTTGAAAAATTTAAGCTGAACCAAATAAAAAAAAACCAAATACCTGAATCTAAATATTATAAAAAAAGAAAATTATGAAACCTGTCATGCAACTAAAAATAACTCTTATTGTAATTATATTGGTTTTTTTAGCATGTTACAGGCTATGTTATTTACTTTTTCTTCTTAGTTTTGACTCTTGTCATCAGTTGTCATTCTAACAAGGTCAATGGTTAGAAGTTCTCTTATAACCGAAATATACTAGTTTATTATTATAACAATTAGAGTTATTATACTTACATTGTAATAAAATTGCTTGCATACGGCGTTTAGTAAGGTCTTTGAGATTTTGTAGTTCTTCTTCAAATTGGTTTTTTTCTGATAGTAAACGCCGTACATGGGAATTGGTCGATTGAATTATCGAATAAAATATATTAACATTACGTTTGTTACAATCTCCTCGTTCTAACCACGTAATAACTACTTGTACAGCATTTAAAAATGATGTATCAGCTATAAAGTAATAAGTATAAGTATTAATAACCGTATTTAATTAAGAAAATATTATTCAACTAAAAGATCATATGGGTTAATTAATTACCCTTAATTTCTTCACTAACTGATAAAGCTTTAGCTTCAGTGAAATGGGGTATTAATGGAGGAGATGGAGGAGGATTTGATCGAGTTTGTTGTAAACGCCTTTCTTCACGCATTAAATGTCTTTTTTTCATTTCCCATTCATACTGATCATCACGGGCTTGAGCATAATCTACGTGTAAACGTGATGCAGATACCAGCTCCTGTCCTTTCATCACTAATCGATATCCTAAGTAAAATATGTTTATAATCATTAATATTTATATTCATGAAATATAGTAGGTAGCTATTAAATGATATATAATTAAAAATAATGAATATTTGTTATTCTTAAAGCCAGTGTTTGGAAAACACTTCATCTATGAACACTCACGTTCACAAGTTCACATTCATATTTAGTGAACAATACGTAAATATCACTATTTTTTTTTTCAAATAGAACCTGAACGTGACAGCGTTTAAATTTTAATGAATTTGAGCAATTTTTAAGAAGCTCAATTTATTTACCGTTTAATAAATACATGTTTAAAATATGATTAAATTATATTAAATTATAATAATATTTTCTTGTTATAATTCCTATAGAAAAATTTTAAATGTAACGAGCCAGTGAACGCATTCATTTTTTCAACAAACGCGAACAAGTTTTTTTTTAAAGGACTGAATGTGAACATATTAATTTTTTTAATGAATGTACAAACACTGGATTAAGCCTAAAAATTAATCAATAAACGCAATTTAAATACTTTACCCGAGAGTTCTAATGCAAGATCAACGGAGCACTCATTCTCAAAACGTATATGACAAAATTTTCTATTACTTAAGCGTATCGTCAATATTTCCCCATAGTTAGTAAAAATTGATTTCATTATATCTTCAGTAATGCTGTCTGGTAAACCTCCAACAAATACAGTTCGACAGCCTGGAGGCCTTTCTCTAGAAGTTGGCGTAGGAGCGTTTGAAGGAGGTGGGTACAGTGTGCACAGTTCTAGTTGTATAATTCGTTTGTCTGTCTGAATGACATTGGACTCTGGCGCTCTTGGTGTCGAATGATTAACAATCATTGAAGAGGGTGTTAGCATTCCACCCATGACACCATACTAAAAAAATTACACATAAAACAATAATTTCTAAAGAATGTAATTGTGTACTAACTTGTCCCATGAACATTGCAGAATCCATTACGTTCATTGGGTTAATTAAATTAAATGGATTAAATTGAGGCATAATTTCATTCCACAAAGGAGATGTTCTAACTGGTACGGGTGGTTTATTAGAAGAAATATTTGCATCAATAGGCAAGTCTATTAGAGACGCTGGTTTATCCCCGTGTATGTCGGTGAATTGTGTATCACTAAAAATAATATAATAATAAGCTATAATATTCAGATTTAACAGCTTATTGTTAAATAATTATGTCCATGGTAGGTACAAACCCTCTTAGATTTCTAGCTCGTTCAACTATTCGTTCCCATTGGTCATCAGAATTAATTTTTTGGGCATCTGGTTGATCCCACCGTCCTCTCTTATTTTCACCAGGTCTATTTCGTTCGTCTGTGCTTGAAGATTCTGTAATTTTTCTTCGAAAAACTGCATCATCTACAAAAATAAATTAAAAATAATGATTATCATAATTTACAAAAGCAAGAAAGAAAATATTCTTACAATATGAAGCCATTTTTTATTACACTTCATGAAGTGTAGTGAAAAAATGCAATTTGTAGTATTGAAGGGCAAGTAAAGAAATTAATCATGGGTGTCAATGAATAATTTGAAAATTAGTCCGATTTAAACAAAATTAAGTAAGTATGAACTTTGAACACTACAGAAAAAATCAATAATTTATTACAATAATTTTATAAACACAATTAACTCCTTAATCCTTATAAAATATAAATAGGTATAATAACTTAGTAATGAACCATATTATTGTTAGTTATCTAATACCTATATCATTCTCAATCTTATTGTTTCTACTTTCCACCCTACTACCACAGCTACTACCCTAGACATATATCACAGAACAATTTAGGTATACACCAAAATACTTTTTTATCACACAGCATGGAATAAGAAGAGTTTTAAAGTTGATAGTATAAAATTGTCGTAAATTTGTTCTTTATTATTACCACTGTTACCACGGACGTTCGTGTTGTTTACAGAAATGTTCTTAAAAAAAAACAACTACTGATTATCGATTTAGTGATAAATGATATAAACAAATCTACGGAACTACTTAGCAGTTAGCTTCAACAAATACTCTATAATATAATAATAATATAATACTATATAATAATAATAGTATTAATAATAATATAACACTCATATAGAGTATTTGGTTTCATGTTCATTGCTTCAAACGAGTCACTGTAGGATTGTTGGACATACCTGTCTATTCACACGAATATCGGATTCATTTTATTATTTGTGTTTTATGATCTGATCTGTGAACTCTTAACAACTACACTTGTACACTAGTGTAATAGAGGTTTACGTAATTGTTGCCTTAATTTTTATTTTAGATTAAAAATTTTATAGGTATTTAAATTATGCCTGTAAACACGTTTATTCGATGGGAAAATGTAATGGATATTTTAACCCATTACGGTGTGAATAATAGTTTTATGGAAACATTTAAACATACCGCCAATAATGAAAAAGTAAATCTCTGTATGCAAAATGAATTCATCAGGTACAAATTTTTTTTTCACAACTCTTGTATTACAAGATCAATACCTAAATTATATTTACTGTGCCTGCCTTGTGGTCAATGTCTGTATCATAGGAGCTGTTTGGAAAAATGGTTGGATGATCCAAAGTTTAATGAGAGTCTAAAAAATTCAACCAAATCCAAAGAGACTCGACTAGTGGCTAATGAAGAATTCAAAATGAATCGGCTGGAGTTGTGCTGTAAACTTTACACAAAAGCAGCTCAGTTTGCACCGTATAAAAGTATAGAATCAGCATTAGCGTTTTCTAACCGTTCAGCTATGTACCTGAGGTTAAACAAATATCAAGTATGGTTTATTTGAAATTCAATGTAAAAGTTCTGTATAAATAATATGTATTATTCCAGGAGTGTTTAAAAGATATTGATGCCAGTCTGAATATATTGGAAAATTCAGATATTAATGAACAAGAAGTTAATAAAGGTCAATTAGTTGTGAAATTATTTAAACGCAAAATTGAATGTTTAATCGCTTTGAAACAATTTAAAACTGCTAAAACTAACTGGGAAAATATACTAGAACTATCAAAGAATGTTTATAAAATACCCTTAGAAGGTTAGGAGTGTAACAAATATTTTATATTACATACATTATTTATTATTAATTACTTGATGAATTATTCTAATATAGATCAATTTATCAAAAAATGCAAAGTTTTGTCAGATTGTAATACAAATTCTAATAATGCAGATATTGTTATAAATGCCGATGAAACACTTACAGAAGATCTAATTAAAAAAAAACTGAATTCAAATAAAATAACTCTTCCATTTAGGTCTCCTAAATTGGAGTTATGGTAATTATGGTGATAGTTGACTATGTATCTGTATTCTGTAAACAGTTTAGTTAAGTAAATATAATCTGTATACCCTAAAGTAAATACATGTAGATATTTATGGCATTTATACTACATTACAATATTAAATACAAATGTAATGCTCGTAAGTTTATAATATGTTTTAGAGGACATCATACCGGCTTGTGTCTGAACTTGTCCTTGTGGGATTCCAGGAAATATTCTTACCTTTAAATTTGATATTAGATCAATTAATTTTAATACTCAAAATAACAGAGTTCAATGGATTTTTCTATTATTTTTTTATTTCTTTTTTGTTTTTTAAATTAATCATTAAGTAAATGTTGACACTAATTTCTGTCAATAAAATAAATAATATTGATAGAACTGGAACTTACATTTATACTTACATAAATACACTTTATTTAAATACAATTACTTCTCCATTTTATTTGATAATTATTGATTTATACTTAAAGCACCATGGATTTTCTTACCACTTACTTTTAAAGTAAATTTAAGTATGAAAATATGTTTTAAAAACTGTTTACAGATATTATAATTTCATTTATTTACCGAGATTTAATTATTATTTTAGTTATTCAGAAGCTAAAGGAAAACATTTTGTTGCTTCAACTAAAATAGAATTTGGAGAACTTTTAATATTTGAAAATCCATTTGCATTTGTGTTGCTACCAGAATATTACAATTCATTTTGTTATAACTGCTGTGTACCATTAAAATATTATTCTATACCGTAAGTAATGTTAAATTTCCAATTTATTCTTAATATTTATATAAAGATAATTATAGTAAAGTAAATACACATTTTTTCAGATGTGACAATTGTTGCACAATTTTGTTTTGTGGTGATAAGTGTCTTCAAGAAGCAAGGAATTCATATCATCGTTGGGAATGTAAACAAGGAACATCAATTTTCAAGTGTATTGGAATTGCCCATCTTGCATTGCGTTTGACAATAGAAACTTCTCAAGCAAACAGCAATAATGATCAAATTTATAATTTATTAACACATATCGATGATTTAAAATCATTAGAACTATACCAATACAGTCTGGTAATTTATCTTTTTACAAAAATTGATTATATTTTCAATATTAAATTACAGGTTTTTTTTTCATTATTTATCATTTTGATAATGTGATAACTATAATATAACTAAATACAAATTCTTAGGTTCCTACATCGCCACACTAAACACTTTAACTCTGTACCTTATCTAATAACCCTTTATTCTGCTCCTTTTAGTTAAGTTCTCAACAATGGGTCGATCATTTAGAATCCTTATCTTCGTATCGAAATTAGTTGAATGAGTGCAGAAATGCTTCCTTAGCTATGCTGGAGTCCTACACTCCTACTTAAAGTTGAACATTCCCAACATTTTTATCATCCAGTCATGGATGTGCTGAATCTTTGCTCTCTCGGGGATAGGCGTCATCAGACAGTCTAACTTTTTTATTAAAATTAAGTCAGGACAAGATTGATGCACCGTGACTTCTTGAAAGTATAAGCTTTAGAGTTCCAACCGCCCATACTAAATCCTCTGAGTCCTTTCACATTCCAACTTTCCGTTCAAACTTTTTATTAAATGATTCCTTTGTCAGAACAATGCATAGTTTAAATGATAATAATGTTGATACATTGCTTTAAATTTCTATAATTTTAAACTGTTTTGTTTATTTTTAATTTATTAATATTTTGTTGTTTAGAACACTTATGTCGTTTAATGTTATAACAATTACTTTTATATGTATTGTTTCATACTTTTTATATGTAAAAAGTCGATTGGCATTTATATCAATAAAATTAAAATAAATATGATTAAAGATATTACTAAATATCATTGATATTAAAAATATTTTGATTTATTTTTTAATGAGTCCATTAAAACTAAGTTAACTCATAGTTTATAGGAACAGAAATGTAATGTTTATAATTTGGTAATTTCAGACTGCCACTCTTTTGCTTTTATACTTGCAAAAGAAAACCGATTTCTTTAAAAAACATCCAAATCTTGTGCTGGAATCCGTGGGCAGTGAATTACTTCACCACATGACAAGATTAGTATGTAATGGAAATGCTATTTCAACTCATATGTTGTCAGATTATGACTCTGGATCTCTTACTTCAATTATTGACGAATCGCAACCACGTATTGGAACAGCTATTTTTCCTACTTCAAGTTTATTAAATCATTCATGTGACCCAAATATATTTTCAAGGTAAACTTGTTGTAGTCACTTTTAATTCAATCATTTTTTTAATTAGAATAATATTTCCAGTAATATACTGAAGTATGTTGTCATCAAAGCTTCTCGAGATATAAGCAAAGGAGAGGAAATTACTAATTGCTATGGTGAATATACAATAATAATAGCAATAATAATAATATTCTTGTTTATAATTTTGAACATTTTAGGGCCTAACTTTCGACGCATGCGATTAGTTAACAGACAGGCTTCATTGAAAGAACAATATCATTTTGACTGTAAATGTTGTGTTTGCATGGATCCACGATCAGATGAAATGTTTTTTAAAATAGTCGAGGGACTTGTATGTTTATCATGTCACAACGAAATTCCAGCTACTTTGTCAAATTTAGATGTTGATGACACTGTGTATTGTGGGTTGTGCTATGTTCGATTTAGAACATTAGATTATAAGAGAGGATTACTTAAAGCTGACAAAACTTATAATAAAGGTAAAAGTAGCTACTCAAAATTAATGTAAATTAGTAATATCATCATACAGTTTATGAACAATATTATTGGGGATGTTTTTAAAAGGGATATTTTTAGGGCGAACTGATTCAAAGAAAATCACCTGAGATCATAGAAAATGTTTGTTGTTCATGATATGTAATATTTTGATATTTATTCCTTTAATCAACATAATAGAATGACAAAATTACTAAAGCATACTTTTTGTTTTGATATAAACTCAATTTTTATCATTAGTTTCAACCAGAGTTTAGTCAATGTTTTAAATAGTGTACATATTATCATAATTTTTAAATATCATTAATACAAAATACATTGCTAAAATGGTACTATTACATACATGTTACTATGTTACCCAATTAAGATAAAAAATTTGTGGAAAAATAATTCTTATTTAAAATAGATGTGGCATTTAAACATTATTTTTTCATTATACCTATTACTCATAAGTCATAATATACAGAATTACAGCAATAAATATTTACAATTTGATATCTATTGTCTATAACACATCTTTTTTTTGAGAAATCTCAAATATACCTCATAAATTACTTCATCTGGTGTTATTATGAGACATGATGACATGCCAATAAGGCTACCCCATTTAGCCCGTTCTAATAATAAGAATATATTATTGCTGTTGCGGGCCTTGCAATCTCCACATGCATAATTAAATATGTAATCGGATATATTATAATAATATGGTATACCTACTAGGTATTTAAAGTTAAATCTGTAAGCATTTTATTTCTACGATTAATACAATGGAATCTATACGCATAGAGCATGAACGTTTTTTTATTACATATAAAATGGATGATGTGTTGCGTATTCTTAAACAGTTGTAGGTATGGCAACTGCCATGTACCTAATACAGTGTTTTTTTTATATATATTATAGAAATACTCGTTCGAATATGCATTTCTTTAAAATGCAAAACAGTAAAAATATGAAAGGTCATGGGGGATCCATCTCCCATATCCCGCCCCCTCCCACATAAATACGCCACTGGTGCTCAGAGCTAATGGTCAAAAAATATTGATTTAATGTTCTAATTTATTATATTTTTTATTGATTTTAATAGTTTTTTTTTTTTTAATTAGGAATGAAAGAACTCGAGGCAAGTAATGTTTTAAGTGCAAAACGTGTTCTTTGTGAGAGCTTAAGACTTTATACTCTCGTTTTAAACCAAAAGAACGCAAATATTACTAAATGTGAAGATAGTATAGCAAAATGTTATGCTCTAGCTGGTAAGATAATTTTTTTTATTTTATAATTTATCTAAAGCCCGGCAACTGTGGCCATAAGCTGTTTGTGGGGGGGGGGGGGGGGAAGATTTTATGGAACACGTGTGTGTTTGGCAGAATTTCTAGTGAGCACCCGTAGGTTTCTGCATTCCAGGGGGGCCGCGGCCTATTTCTCCAGGCACCATGATTGCCGGAAGAGAGATACGGCCCGTGACCAAGATTCAAACTGGCGACAGTGCACTTTCAACCGACGTTTGGGTCGACTCGGCCACTTCACCCCCCGATAAGATAATTATACAACATATAAATTATGATTATTAGAATTCATTATAAAAACATTTATTTAATATTTCTGAATACTTTACAAAAATATTATGCATGAATTCATTGTTTTTCAGCTATCATGTTTGTGTAGATTATTAGATTAACATAATATTAAACATCAATGAATTTATTTTCTAATATTTTGCAGTCAAAACTGTTTTTATTTATGATTAAGTATGATTAATTATAATTCATAGTGTATGACCTTTGAAAATTCCTCTGAAGTCAAATGTTTTTATTTATTGTATTTATGCTTATTTATCATTTTATTCCAGTAATTCCTGATTTCAATATTTTTATTCGTTAATTTTTGTACTGTGTAATTTAAGGAGATTTCGAGAATTGTTATATGTATTTGGATAGAAGTTTTGAAGCAATAGAAGAACGTTTTGGCAAAAATAGTTTAGAAGTTGCTTATGAATTGGATAAAATGTCAGATATAATGGTCAACAATCTAGACATGCGAAATAATCGGTAATTAATGTAATGTGTTAATATTTCACTATATTTATATTTTAGAATTTGAGATGATTCTGAGTACAACAATTTTGTTACATTAATATTACATTTTTATATTTTCATACTTTATTCCATTATGATAACTATTTATTATTAAAATAAAATTTTTGTGCTGATTCATATTCACAACATTTTACAAAATATATTTTTTAATGCATTGACTTTTAGACAAATAAGTCAATAGCTATAATTATTTAAATTTTGAAGTTAATACTACAACTGTAATAATAAATATTAAATTATAGCATTGTAAATTGTTATACATTATATTTTTACATATATTTTAACTTTAACCTAAATAATTATCTAGATGTCGAATGTAATATATATTTACTACAGTATTATCATTTATAGGAATTTAATTCATAAAGCATTAAGACATGTACGGAGATCAATGCAAATATTTGATGCCAATTTGTCTGCATGGGATATCCCATATAGTGAATCTGGTATAGCAAATATCAAACATAAAGAGAATATATTGTTACAGTTCTTGGAAAGTAGGTTTTGAAATCTAGAATCTAAATATTGAAAAAAATATTTCTTTAACTAGGTTGTTAATTGTTACATTAATATATTATGTACAGTTTTATTTATTCCTTATTATTTTGTAATTCATATAATAATATGATGTACATTGTACCTATATATCTATCTTATGAAATAAGAAATATTTTAAGTTTTGTAATTATTATGCATAATTTTTAGATTAGCTACCTACCTCTTGATCCTTATTTGTGTGTTTAATTGAAGTCATGATGTTTATAAAAAAATTAATTTGTGTATTGTTTTGATTAATAGATTAATTGTTTTATGATATTATTATTAAGAATACCTATGTCCACCTCACTATGCATTGCTCTACTTGGTAAGGCTCTGATATTATGCAATGTCTATCTGAATAAAATAATCTGTACATAAATTTGCACAATAAATCAACAAACTATTTACATCATAACATGAATAAAGTGAAAGGTATGTAACTTATTTGTATAACTTTCTTATAATATATATTTTTTTAAATGATTAAAATAAATCTCAGTTCCAGTTTCTTATGTCTGCAGGGAGGTTTGTCAGGAATAAAGAAGAAGACATAGTCTCATACTCTCATGTCCCATCTCCCATCTATAATGACCAATTATTTATTAAAATTGACTGTATCAATATTCTATACATTAGTTTACTGTCAATGTTTTTTATTAACAAATTGTATCTACGTACTTCAACAAATTTTTTCCACAAAACTATGTACAGTGTCGGTATAACAGTATCAGAAGTGATGAGAAAATGAGATATCAAGAGTAGGTATATTCTATGGGTATGAGTTTTTAATACTGAAAAATGGTTCGATAATTTTAAATGCTGTTGCTGTTTTAATGGCCGTGTATTGTGTACAGACGAATAAGGTGGAATGTACATTGTTCAATGTTGATTGCACGTGTCAATAAATAATAAATAATACAATCTACTTAGCGAACAAATCACTAAGACAATGAATGTCAAACGCTAATGTGGACCCGCACTTTACATTCTTTTAATGGTTTTTTTTTTAAATTTTATTCTCCTTTCTTTTTTTGTATTTTTATTACATTTGTTACTTTTTATATACTATTATATCTACTGTTCTCATATATTTTGTCAATTAATTAAACTGCATGTTCATGCAAAAAGGGCTCAGCCCGTGAAATATGTAAATAAATTAATATAAGCGAGCAAGGTTTTCTAGCAGTTTTAGTACTAACTAAGCCATAATCAACGTATAAAATGAATTAACTTAAAACTATTCCAAAGGTAGTGAAAGTAGTAGCGGACTGGCCCAATGTGCCACTATTATAATGTATAGTTTATATTATAATATACTTATGTATAGTATATGTTTTGTATATATATATTAATTTATGATATTTTAATAGGTACCATCTAAATAATATTTACATAGAATAACTGTAAAACTGTTAATACTTACGTGTTTTCTTCAACATCGTCGTCGAATGACAATACTGCTGCTTGATTGATGATAATTCCTCGTGGATGTCTAATCTGTTGAACCCTCCCTGAGCATTCACCTGCTGAGCGTTACCGTTTTTGGCCAAAATGTACCCTTCCCTCTTCGACCAACATTTATCGTTTAGCCAGTACAGTTTTCTTTAAAATGTATAATTAGAACAACTTACTGAACTTAACAATTTTTATATTTAATTAAATATGATTATATATCAAAAATGTGATTTTTCATTAAAATTATTACCTACAACAGTATGAAAAAAAAAAATAGTTGGCATTAAAATGTTAAGATATATTACATTAGTTGAATACAAATATATATAGCTTCATTGTACTTGTATAATAATAATTATGATGGTAAAATATACATTTATGAATATTTGAAAAATTAAGATTTTATAAAAATAGTAAAATTTGTAAATCAAAAATCAATTTTGATGTAATTAATGTTATATAATTTTATATCCAATTATTTTGTTTTATAATTTAAAAAATATTAACAGATAGTAGATAATAATTTTATTTAAAAAAAAACTTTTGGATACAATCATATTTGATAAAATATAAAAATTGTTAAGTTCAGTTATTATGATTATACATTTTAGAGAAAACTGTACTGGCCGAAAAGGGGACTGCCCCACCTGCTCTATAATACATATTATATAGCAGGGGTCGCCAACCTTTTGGACCTTGCGGACCACTAAAACCATATTCTAAATTCTACGGATCACATATAGCTTTTTACATGAATAAGGTTCCACTACTGATAAATTTTACACCAAATTAATATCAAAAAATAGATACGTAAAATAATAAAAAATGTTTTATTTTTATTTATTTTGTGCAATTTTGGCTCCAATGTAGTCACTACAAGTCGTAGAGCTTTACTTATTTCTAGCTGATTTTTAGCTATTTTTCTACGGACCACCGGTTGGCGAACGCTGTTATATAGAAATGTAGGATTGACCTTAAGTTCAAAACATTGTTGTGTGTAGGACAAATCACAAAAATGTAAGACTGCCCAGTGCCCTGCTTAGTGCCAAATGACGGATAGTTGACAACCTACAATACCTACCTAGAAAGACAAAATGTGTGGATGTGAACAAATACAGAGTATAGGTACAGATCGGGAATCAAGATTAAGGTAATTTAGGCTAAATAATAATGATATATCCATTATTCGTGTATTATAGGAAATATACTATATTCTTGAGGGCCCACTATTGTTCGTTACCTGTTGTGGGCCCTCCCCCTTAATACGGGCTTGGTACAGACCGCAATCTGTAGTGCTCACTGTTCTTGGGCATTAGCAGAGAACTGCTACCTAGGTTATGTAACAAAATGAAAAAGAGGATGATCAATTTATGTTATGATTGTATGAAGAATAAATAAATAACAAATAAATGGCTGTTGTAGAAGAAAAAGGCTTGATATCAAATTTAGTATAATTTATTAAATAATATGTTGTTCACTTGTATTTTGTATTGAACTCTTATATCCGTTAACTGTATGGAATTGATATCTAAGTATTTATTATTGATTCAAACTCTAGAGTAGGTACTTGGGAACAGGCAATAGAGGATTTCATTTTTTCAAGTGATTCATTAACTTTTGTAGTATCTATTAGTTATTATTATTATTTTGACTAAATTTATACTGTAACCTATTCATAATAGTCTCGAAAATTAAACTGTATGTAGGCCCTTAGGCTAATATCATATTGTCAACAAAATTACCATAAATAATTATTACACTGGCATAGCTGGCACCATCTACATAGTTAAATACTAAATGAGCATTTTTCATTTGTGTTACAAAGTATTTGTAATTATTTTGTTGGAATTTAATTTTCTTCCTCATAAGCAGGGCTCAAAAATTATAGCACTAAAAAGATTAACCTTTTTTTCATTAAAATAATTTTTTATCATAGATATTAGAGACTATTTATGTATAGTAGAATAATAGTATAACATATTTTTTACAGTAGAAGATAAGGTAACCACTGCCCAGTAATTTGGAAAGTACTGGATGTTCCAGCAAAACCTATTTGATTCCATTAATTTAATATTCTCTATTGCTAAAAATTAGCAGTTAAAATTCAAAACAAGCAAAATAGTTCTAAAAAGTCAAAACTATAAGTATGTAAAAATTAGCAAACCAAAGTTGTGTATAAGAGATCTGAGAAGTGTAAAACTAATTTAACATAATATTTGTGTGCAATATAACGCCTACTCAGTGGTATAGAATATAAATAAACCTTCATAACAATAATTTAATTAAGCATAATATTGTAATAGGTAATGAACATTTTAAATATAAGAGCTTAAAACTTGATTGGACCATAAAAGAATAATCACAATTAAATCAACAAGGAGAAAAGAAGAAGGAAAGACAAAAATACACATACAATATTAATATTGTTTCATTTATTTATTTATATGCTACCACATCATTGTGGCAGCTACAATCTTAACATGTGAAACATAAATTCAGAATATGTTTAACACTTTAACTGCACAATATGTATAACAATTGAATATTATAAAAAACAAAAATTTAGTATAATTTTGTAACAAATCAATGATTATTTTAAAAAATCTGGTATACTGTGATTAGAAAAAAATAACTAAATCAAAGATAAGAATATTTGATAAGTGTTACATTTTGTAAATATTTGTCTAAAGCATTGATTAAAAGACCATAGTATAAAGACACAAATAAATATAAATATCCATGATGTGTTATTGGTTAACAATATTCAGTAACAATTGACTATAATTTTAAATAAAACATAAAAAAAAATAAAATAAAAAAAGAAACTAAAATTAACGAAAACAATAAGAAACAGGCAACTAATATAAACATATATACATGTAGTATATGGTCTTAAAGTTAAGTATTCTGTTGTTTGATACTTAAGATGTTTTTACTATTGAAGTGTTATATTTGATAATTATGGCTAAATGGCTTAGTTAAGTAAATATGACACTAACCACGAGTAGTGAATAATTGATTTTTAATCTTGACCCTGTATTGTTTAGAGTAAAATAAAAACCAGCTGACGTTTTTCATGAGTAACAAATATAAAATAATTGAGTACTTTTTGTTATAAAATGTATAAAAGTTGCCTATTAACAAAAAAGAAAAAGAAAAAAGAAAGACAAAAAAGAAAAAAGTTAAATCATTATTTTTATTTAAGGTAACATTATGAAATAAACAAACAAAATAAATTAAAATTAAAACTAAACCTCATTAAACATAAATGCAAAACTTTATTATCATTTTTATGTTTAACAAAAAGGAGGAACTTTTAGGCCTAATAAATTGTGGGATTTTTAGTGACCACCACACATAACCTAACCTACGCGAGGATAATAAATAATTTATTAATTCATCAATCATTGATCAGTCATTTGCTTAGAAAATAAACAAAACAGTAATGTTTTGGAATTATTTATAACTTTGCTATAACTTGGTTTAATTTTTTTATAAAATATTAAAAAAAATAGTACATACATACATTATATATAAATATATATGTTTATGCATATAAAGTACATATTAATTTTGAGCTTCTTACTCGTTTTGACAGTCAGTCTTGTTACAAACATTACGGAGGGTATGTTTTTCAATTATTTTATTCACTGTCATCATCTTTGTGGCATAAGTCTAATACTACCCTGTCAAATTCTACCATACGTTCATCAAACGATTTAATTTGTTCAACAATTTCAGACAGGTGGTTATAGACATTCAAATGATCAGGACGAACTTTCAATGATGGAGCACCGAGAAACTTTTGATAGAAGAGAGCCAATTCAATGTTTGGATTTGAATCGGAAAATGCAGCAGGCTTAAATTGTAACGGATTGGTATCACAACTACGTCTCCGGCAAAAATCTTCAGTTGATAGAGGTTTTACAGACTGGCCCTAAAATGATTAAATAAATATTAGCATACAATTAAAGGTAACAATCAAGATTAAAATCAAATAATAAGCAAACACCAGTGATAAATCAGTTAAGTTTATTAATTTCCCAATTAATTATTTGTTAATAAAAAAAAAAAAAAACACTAAAGTAAAGTTAGTTATTAATAAAATTACCAATTCTACCAAAATAAAATCATTGATGGCCTCATTACTGGATGTGTTCATTGAATGATTGAATTTGTTCTTGGTTTCAGTTGTATTGACATTATTGGATACTCCGGTGCTTATCACCACAGCGTTGTTCACTGTAGAAGTTTTGTTATTTTGGACAGAAGATGTTACTGAATTGTTATTTTCATTTGTCGACTCTTGGAGTTTCTGCAATTGATTACTAGGCACCATGTGTGGTGGCCAATATTCGGCTCGTTTTCTGGGCTTTATGAATGTATCTTTCGGAAACTCGGGAATACGATATAGGTTAAGTTTCTTAACTTTATCTTCAAGACTGTCTGAAAAAGCACCCACTGTCCAATCATCCATGATGTATGCTGTTCTGGACTGATCACTAAATTTAAGCATAATTTCAATGTTTAATTATATTACAACCACAGACAACAGTTAAAATAAGTGGACTCCAGAATATTATACTAATATAATAATTTGTTCATTTTTGGGTCTTGTGAGCCATACAAACAGTAATTACATATGTTCAAAAATAATACTCTATTTTGGAAACCACTGAAATAAAAAATAAAAACATACATTGGAGTTTTGATTATCTGATTGTGCCGTGGGCTATACTCTTTTCGAAAATGATCACTTTTTAACATGATTGGATCTTGTTGAGATGTTAATGTCATAGAGGTACGATAACAAACTGTCACTTGAATGGTCCCTATAGGCATTGACACTTGGCCAATTTGTAATTCTTTATATTCTTTTCCTGTAACACGGTTAAAACAAATACAACATAAATACCAATTTATCATACATAGAGTGGTGAGTGAATATGATTTTTTTGGCAACCTTAATTTTCTTTTGTGATATTTTTGTACAGAAAATAGTATTATAATATTTATAGAAATATGCGATTTTTGGTAATGTTGTTGTCTTGAAATGTAAGAATGAAAACAATTATTCACACCACATTACCACACAACACATATACGTAGATTATTTATGTGTTAAAATCGAATAATAGTTTAAAAATGAGTATGGAGTCTAGTCAATCTTTAGTTAGTTCTATTGTGCAACACGACCTCTAAAAGCTATGAAAACAAATTTATTGGCAACAATTTCGATGCACTCCGGGTCATGACATTGTTGAATTATATAACTATCACATGAAACAGTATTTATTTCAAACAGTAAAATAATAAGTATTGAAATAGAACTAATTTTTAAATTTAATATTCATGAAAATTATTCACGTATTAAAATACTCAGAATAAATTACTAACAAAATAAACTACCAAACATATAGACCGTACTACGATCTTGATGCCAATTTTCTTAACTAATACTGATATTCCTAGTGAGACACGATAAATCGCTAATAAAACATTAAATTATAAACTATTATTACAATATACCTACACTATAAGCATTATAATATTATAATAATCATGCAGTCATTGGTTGTAATATTATGTTAAGACATGTTAGCGTAATATCCTATAATATGTATCACACAGAAAATTCTTATCGAGAACATGATATTAATATAATTTAAAATTCACAAGACTCTTGTAAGAACCAAGTCGGCGACAGAAAAAAAGCATACAACTTATTTCTTGTTTTGTAATGCATAAATTATACATGATATCATACACGCATATCACAGAAAAATTATAGATAATTAAGCACGCGTTACACGATTTATTTATTATGTAAGTTCCCTTTATTAAAACATCATTTATTTTTTTCAAATCGAAAAGCAATCAAAATACAACCTCTGTTACGGGTCTTTTTTCGTCATAAACAAAAATTACGTAATAAGAAAAATTATAGAACTTGTACCTTGACGTTAAGTAAAGTTATCTATATACTCGAGCCATTGGCAGTGAAGTATTGTTATAGGAATCAGAGTTTGGAGCATGACGCGTTGTTTATACGTATGTTAGTGAACTTGACAAATTATGTGATGTATTTGTTAAAGATTATCTTAGTTAAAATTACATTACTTATGTCTAATATGATGTATTACCTCATATTATGTCAATAGGTACGTCACACACATATTAGCGTTTATATTATAATGGCTACTAAAGAGAAAATATAAGGATTAGATCATCTTTTAAACTCCAAAAAAAAAATTGAAATACGTCAGGTTAAGTGGTTGATTTGTTCAATGTTTAAAGTTAATATTTTAGGGGGGGAATTAAAAAGAATATATTCTTAAGAGTTGTAAGTAATAAATGTGGCAAGTACATGTGATTTAAAGAAATTTTAAAACTGTCTTAGATATTATATTATACACTTCAATTTGTTACAGAGTTTGCATTAATTAATCAACAAAGTTCATAACAGATTAAAAGAAAAAAAACAGCGTGTCATAATAAGTCTTACTTATAACACGTCTGCAAATTATTTACAGTAGAAGTTCAATTAAATGTATATTGACTTTAATACTTTTATCGCATGTAGGTACAATATCTCATCAATATTTCATATAATTAATGTATTATTCATTTCGAGTTTCGACTTAAGTTCGCGGTTGTGTACATCATAAAATGACTTTTAAATAACAGAATAATTTAATTAATATATTTCTAACAGCATCAACTTATGTTTTGATTAAATTTATCTTTAAGTTGTAATAATATATATGAAGTCCACTATTGAATTCTCGTGAAGGAAATCTGGAGTATAATTAACTAAACTAACAAATAATAATATATAATACGATTAAAATAGGCGGTAGCAGCCATATATGTACTTAATCATAGTTTGGGTTAGGTATTTAGGTAGGGTTTTAACTAGAAAGAAGCATCTGTTCATCTAGGACGCTACAAAATGCAAGTGAAAGTGGAAACTTGTCATCGTGACATTTGACCTAATAATGAGTATAACACGAGTTGACTGTTAACTACAATTATTGTTCCGCACGTTTTGTCAAGTTGGAATTAAAATTAAATCATAATATTACATAGGTACAATATTATAATTTTATGTTATTAGGCACAAGGTACAAGTAATAAACGCCGGTACGCGATACCACTCAACAACGTTAAGGTGTAGGAAAATCGGTTAGGTTTAACTGTTTAAAATTATATAATATTGTACTTTCTCATAATTACAATAGTAAAATAATTATCATTTAACATCACAATTTTAACAGAAAACATTTAAATCTTATAAGTTATATTAGGTACACTTGTTTTTCAATTTAACAATTTCCAATGTCCATACAACAGGACATCAGTTTGAAAAGTTAACAACTGTACAGCTGTACATTGTACAATGAGTTGAAGATATTGAACGCTTTATAATTAATCCGTGAAATACTTAAATTGTTTAGTAAAAAATAATATGTAAGGAAAATCGTGTATAAAATATACGGAATATATATTTCGCTTCATTAAATATTCCGGTTTTTTAAAATTTGTAAAATTGCATGGAGTGTTTTATTTTTTTATGTATTTATTACGGAAGATATTTTACGAATCTATAACGACTGTTTAAAAACATATAATTTTTAGATTAAAATTTTAAAAGTTTTTAGTTTTTAATTTGATTAAGTCGATACCGCAGTTACTACCCATTTATAAAATGCATTTATCACTATAGATTATACAGATAAATACTAAAGTGTGGCTCTACCAAGGAAATAAAAGTTTACATAGAATAATTTTATACTTGTCTGATTATTTTTAATAATGAAATAAGTTTAGTAAAATTCTTGGCACAAAATAATTTTTTATATGTATATATATATTATATAAAGCATAATATTTAAATTGTTGTATTAAAATTACTAAACGACGTAATTAACTAATAACCATATATCTTGACTAATGGATATCAGACATTCGCTGGTTTAAAGAATTTGTTATTGTTTCGATAATTCAACGTAAACAAAATATTCAACATAACCGAAATAATTTTCTTGAAAAATATAGATTGTCGCAAACATTTTAAATATTTCCCACAGACCATTCAATAATTGTCAATAATTAACGATATCTAGATGTTTCGCTGAAGGTGATTCAGTTTCAAATTATTTTCCATTATTAACATAGTTGACTAAACGTTGAATAATCTGTGATTCTAATAATTGAGAGACGGGAGTTTAAGCTAGAAACATTTTATAATTTATAATTTATAATACGAAAAAGGGATGGTTTTTGTTTGTAAAATTATACTGTATGCATATTGCAAAAAGTTCAAAAAACGACATAGACAAAATAGTAAACTACGTTACTGATTGTATATGATAAATAATTAAATAATTGCTTTAAAATTTGGCATAATAACACAACTGCTTATCTAAGGAGCTAATTAAAAAATACACACAAATATCACAATAATAATATATATCCACATATTACATTAAGTTTATAAAATAATTTTAAAACGGAATAATATGTTGTTATAAATTATAATATATCATAATACCTACTATATTATATAACTGGAGTAAAAACTAATAATACTTATTATTATTAAGTGTAAACACGAAAACATTTAATGCTGAGAAAAATATATTTAAATTTGAAATCGTTTTAATTACATTCAATTATTTTTGAAGCAATAACATTTTCATAGGAAAAAATATCTCGAATCCCGATGTAACGGAATAGTGTGTCATATGTATAGCGCCTAATAAAGCAATAAATAATTTATTGTTTAGATGTCAATGCTATTCATGGTAGTTTCTAATTGGATGTTGTTAAAAGTGCATAGCAGGAATCACTAATACCGGTTTTCGTCGTCATATTATGATCACGTTCACGTATAAACCGTATAATTTGTCATAATATTAAAATACCTAGTGAAGCACAATGTTCTACGAAAATGTATTATTAGTGATCGTGTAGATTAAAAATATTACTATTGTTCTATCGTTCTATGATATTACTCTAGGTAGCTATCTACTAAAAATGCTACTGTTAAATGTATAAATGGGAAAACTGGCATCTGCTGTATAGTATGTTACCTCATCATCGTATTTTTATTTTATTCGGGTCAGGCATTATACTGATAATTATACAATTAAGATGTATGGTTACAAATACAATACAAAACACATAAAATAAAATATGAAAAATGGTAGTGCTATTACATATGTAGGCTATATTATCGGGTCGATTCAAGATAATTAAAATACATAAATCGAATTAATTTTTATTCCCCTTGAGAATGGAGTTATCGACACTCGACTGTATTCTCAGTTCCCAATATTTGGTAGTACCAACAATTTCTTTGTTTATTATTTTGAGAATAAGATCTGACGGGCTAGTAGTGTCCTTTGTGTCAGAGAATGTCTTGGTCATTACTCATTAAGGCATATACCCTATCCATTTAAGCATATTATCACTAGACAGTCCTACTCCTCCCACTTTTTATCTTTTTAATGTTTTCAATGACTGCCATTATAATTTATGCCCTGGAGGTAGATGTACCAACAGTAAGTTGGTGATATCCTATCTTATGATGTCCGCTATTTTTCCCTATCATGCATTCATTGCACTTTGGGAGCGATATTTAATAGGGCGTTATTTTAAAGTAAATTGTTATACATTTTTTTAAGTGGCGATTAATCGTTTTATTGAGCGAATGAGGTGCTAAAACCTGCCGGTAGGTATAATAATACACTTTATCAGTACCCGTTACGGTACGGCAATTAAGTATGAATTGAACTTATAATTGTAGTAGATGTGTTAAATTTGAATCCAACGATAAATCATTGTATACAAAAAACACGGTTTTAAGGTGGTGAGACGCCCTTATTATTGAGAATAGTTTATATAGTATGGAATGGTATGAATAGGTTTGTGCCGGTATAAAATACTAATCAATTTATCTAAATAGGATTAAAAATTTCATTATGAACAAAATGTAATAATATACCTGATACAAACTTTTATAATAGCGAAAAGTTTCATTTCAAGTCTCTAACGGTTATTCGTTACTAAACTACAACAGACAACAAAATTGTCGAAAAGTTGTGTTGCGTAAATATTTTTGTTTTCCCTCTGTTGTTAGTCCGTTTTTCCCAATTACATATATCAGCGGGTTTCAACTTTTTTAGTTGTGTGGATCACCAACTATGTAAAAAAAACTGAGGTCCACGTATACCTACTGATATACAAGTATAAAATATAAACACACATAAGTAAGACGATAAAAGAAATATAGACATACATAAAATCGGCACTCGACCAGCGTCTGCGGCCCACTTGGGCGCAAGGGTTGGGACTTGGGAACTACTAACATATATTAAGAAAAGTATGAAGAGTTTCGAACTTTTGAACCGCTAAAATATCAACTAGATGAAATTTGCTACTAGAAAATACAATCGAAGTTAATGTAGTACATTTTATGATTAATACAGAACATATCATTGCAAAACCAATACATTTCTCGCGCTTCTCTCAACATCTATAACAATTATTATAAACCATGCAAAAATATACCATTAGAGCTTACATTACCCATTCATTTTAAATTACATTTTTTTTTGAACTCTGTTTATACAAAACTTTAGGAGATTAAAATATGAAGAGTCAAACAATTTTAAAAAAAAATGTACACATCAAAATAAAATGACTGGTAGGACTGTACAATTAACCATCAACGTTAAATCGAAGCTGTACACGAACATTTTCAGCTGATTTAATTTTCGATTTAAACCGTGTAATAATAATCTATTTAATATGATACTTAATATACTACTTTCATAGTACATTTAAATGGTATTGAGTAATTCAAGTCAAAACAACCACATTGCCATTTTTGACGAAAAATTAGTTGTTCCGTTCATAATTGACCAAGAACATATTTTATTATTATTTTTAACATTGAGAAACCCGTATACATAAGGTAATGAACCTGTCTTGGTATATTTCATTTTTAGCCATCTCTGGTTAAATCATAATATGTATAGATACAATTATAATTAGGAGGATTGAACAGCAACTCGCAACTATGCCGAAAATAATGCTAGTCACTAACTAATGATTATGCCAATGCAGTCGATGAAAAATACATTAGATAATTATCTACAGGTTTGTTTCAGTTAGAACTTTAATAGGTGCATGCTTATAGCAAAAAGGGAATTGGAAATTGAACACGGATAATTATTCAATTAAACTCTTGATGAATCTAAAAACTTAATTCAAAAACAAGGTTTACTTATGTTTTTAAATCCTAACCAATTAATTAATTTTACAAGCACCGAGAATTAAGAACATTTTCTAAAACTTCTTTCTAAAATTTGGCATGGTACTGAATACAATAAAGAACTATATACACTATACAGAGTGTCCCGTGAGAATATCTTAATTACCCGTAGAAGGGGACTCGCCGCCAGAACAAAAACCGGTTTTTTGCCGTTGTACCTACGAACTAGGAAAATGATCAAAAAACATTAAATTAATGACAATTAAATATTGAAAGATTAAAATTTTCAGAAAAATAAATTTTACAAAATGGATAGGTACCTTCAATTGTTTAAAATATAAAAATATGAAAAAATAATATTTTAACTTTTTTACCAAAAATTTAATTAAATTAAATATAAAATATATGTAGTCCTTGTCAGTCTAATAAAAAACAATGAGTTGATAAATTTATTATCTTAGGAAATATCACAATGGGTAAATCAATGGGTAAAAAAAGAGAGCCTTATTATTAAGATAAAGCCTTATTATTAAGGCTCTCTAGGTAAATCCTTGCGAGACACTCTGTATTGCAGAGATCACTCTGTAATCCATATAATAATGCATGAAGGGGAAAAAAACAAAAATTGTCGAGAAAATAAACATTGAAATTTTATCAAAATGGCCAATGCCATAATATTGACAAAAATAGATGAAAAATCGATAAAGTGTTTCTTAAGATTTTGACTTAAAAATGACATTGACCTCTCTTGCACAAAGCCAAACATTTATTCTTGACCCTCAGTGTATAATATTACTATCTATCGAAACAAAATCACAAATTTACATTTTTCAAGGCAATCAAAAGAACCGAACAACTATGTACAGAATTACAAACGAAGATTTACCCAAAATCAAATTTGTGAATTGATTTAAAATTATAAATGTATGATAATAATGCATTGGCTAAAGTCAGCTTAGTTAACAGAAAGGGGCATTCGTCTACATTCCATCCTTTCTTAAGTACTTAATTGAGTTAACTTTCCAAGTTATGAAAAAAATTAAATTTTTAATGTAGGTATTTACTTAACATTATTTGCTATAAATTGAAAATATATTACAATGAGTGTTATCTATTTAAAATCAATTTATTGACATAAATCATATATTTTGCCTATAAAATGTTAACATGAATTTATTATAATCATAATTGATCTCCATTAATATTTACAAATATTAATAGTATTTTATATCAAAATATACTATAGTTGTGTTACTAATTACGCTAGTTATAAATAATATTAGATTATTAATAAAAAGGTATCAAATTTTTTTCCCAAAAAATCTCTTAAATGTATGAATACAGTATAACACATTAAATTTGATAAGTATTTTGATTTTACATCAATGTGAATTTTTTTGTAATTATTCATTAGATTATTAGAAAAAAAGAATTGATATTATACTCAAATATTAGGTGTCTATATTAAAATAATTGTTTGGTAACCTTGGTAATTGACTGTACACAATGATTTATTATTGAATTCAAATTTAACACATTCATTATAGTGCCTACTTAATGATTAAGTACACGAGACTACAACTGTACAACAGAGCGGGATTACTTTTTACATTTTTTTTAAAAAATAAACACAAATTTATAGTCAACCGGGTTTCAAATCGAAATTAATAGATGGAGTGTTTAAACCAAAAAAATAAAATGCAAACATAATATAATAATTATCTACATTCAATCATTAATTTTAAATCAATTGGTATTGAGTTATTATTTATTTGTTATCGTTTTTAATGAGCTTTCTTGAATCCCATCATACAATCAAATCAAATATATCAAAATAGTAATTTTAAAGATACCAAGGTTTTGGAATCTTACAAAATATTATATAGGTACAATATAACAATTCTGCATCAGATAGGAACAGAGTAATTTTAGTTTGTTTACTTACCAAGAGTATGGACTTGAGGTTCTCCAGCATAAATTCGATGATGAATTTGAAAAGAATCATGCGATTGTTGTCTTGAGTACCGATAAGCAGGTATTACTCGAGAAACTGACACTAATGATTTCAACAGAATTCCTAATCTGTTATATAGAGTATAAACTAAGTGTCGAGAACAAAAAGGATCAAAGGCACTTTCAGCTAATAAACCAATACTCCATGTTTCTAACGTCATCGTATCCCCATCAACCGTTTTCAAAAATATTTCTACGCATAAAGGCACAGAATCTCCAAGCCCGTTGCTTAATGCTAGTTTTGTTTCGGTTACTACGTCTGGGATTTCCTTTATTGCAACATTCATCTGAAACATTTAAAAATTCTTAATATTAGAATAATCAAGTTGGGGCATGGTATATATTTTTTAAATAGTCTTATAGTTTGATATATTATTTATACATTTTGTTGCCCATTATTTTGTATTATAACTTTTGGGATGCCTATTTAAATTTGTTTTAATAACACGGAGCACAATTTGCTCATAATATTTTTTGATACGCATAAATGAATAATAGATAAATAATTTTTTTTTTATTAATGTATATTTTTGTATGATTAGTATCTTATTTATTTATCTTTTTTTTTGGACTCTTGTATCGCATTACTATGACTATCCTAACTTTGGTAATTATTATAATGATAAATTAATTAATTTATAAGTCATTAAAATTATATTAGCAACATATTAATATTTCATTTTTTAGGGACATTTTAATAAATTTTTAATAAAATTATTAAATTAAAAAAAATTGTTTCTATTTTCTATTGAAGTAGGCACCTAAGGGGGTTACAACAATTGTTGCTATCATCACATCACAGAAATACAATAATCTATTTAATATTTACTGATTTAATTAATCAGTTCTTTGCAGTTCCTTATAAAAATCTTTAGATCTTAAATATTTTTAAAGTTAATGAAACATTTTTTTTCTTTTAGCAATGTTCCATAATGATACTATTCTAGTATTCTGGTTATGCAATGAAAGTATAATTGACACTTTTAACATCCTTCATCATGAGATCCAAACAATCAATGTACATTTGTAGATTGGTATTTCATTCATTAAAAAAACATTATATATAAGGTGTAATAGATAGACCTGACTAGAAAAAAAAGATGCTACTAATTTCCTAAAATTATACTTTGAAAAAAGATATTACGTTCCAAATGAATTTAACCAAAAAAATATTGATATTTTAAACATTTCTAAACAGTAAACTTTTCGACTTAGATAAATGTTTTTACCATCAAAATTGTTCTTATAATAAGATTCACAAATTGGCTATTTTGAACTTAACCAAAAAAAAAAATTAACTCAATTTTAATTTTTTTATATTCAGTATTAAAAATTAAAATGATTTTTTTATATTTTGCATGTAGAGCAAGTGACTATAAATTATATATATTTAAAAAAATATTGGTTATAACAAAAGTTATTTCATTAATTAGTTCTTTCTGTTACACTCTGTATATCAAAATTATAAGACTTGGTTTAAAAACAAACTAAATGAGTTACAATATTTGTTAAATCTAATTTAATACAATATAATATAATGTTAATGTAAAAATGTATGAACATTTTTTTTAAAAAATAATTTAATTTGAACAAAGTACATTCCAATACAATAGTGAACTTGTTTTCAAGGCTTTTATATCTTGCTCAACAGGATTTAGTAAGATAGATAAAATTGTGTACATTATAACACTAAGAAGCAAAAGTAATCAAGTTCCAGTTTATGGTTTATATCACACTTCATAACAAATAAACAATATATATTTATTTAAATTAATGTAGAGGTACTTAATTAATATTCATAAGAAGATTTATTAATTAATTGTTTTATTGAGTTTTTTTAAAGCGATTATTAGGTGAAATATTCAAAAACTAAGTTATTGGTTGTATAGTTCTACTTTCCAATCTATAAATTATAAAAATACAGATTTATTCAGTTGTTTTATTTTCAAATAGCTGAAGCAAAAACTACAAATAGATGGGATTTTTGACAGATAAAAACTAATCTCAAAACATAATTAAAAATATAATATTTGCTTATTTTGAGTATATAGGTAGTCCTTAAGGGTCAAGACATTATCTGTTAACTCTTCTAGTATCACTTATCTACTTTTCTCTCTTTATAATTTTGTACCTAGAGGTAGATAGATATAAATTATTAAATACAAAATATCTCGCTTAATGACTTCCTTCATAGTACTTGTTCAGAAAAATAGAAAAAAATAAGTAAATACTGATTTGTGATTCTTAGATGTTGATACAATTATTATTTATTTATTTAATGGTTCTATGGCTGGAGAATTGTAACAATCAATAAGTAATTATAGAAAAAATGTTCTAGTTAAAAATAAATTGTTACATTGTTACATAAAACCCAAAAGTTTAGATTATAGTAATATAAAGTGTTGAAAATATTTTAAACACATTACAATAGGTAGGTACTTAAAAAACTGGAATGTTATGTAAAATATATTACATAGTACTAGTTGTATGTATCCATATAATAGTTTATTGTAGTTGTAGAAAATAGTTATATAGATAGCACAAGTAGGTTAGTAGAACAGCACAATAATTTACAATAATAGATAATAATCCAACTACCTTGTAATATTATATAAGGGGTTTTGATTTAAATTTGAGAAATTTCTCATTTGTTTTAAAATAACCAGAGTAAATAAAGTACATTAATATGTTATAATATACATGATTTTATACTTTATCAGTGATTTTAAATATCTTTGAACAAAATGAGTTCATTAATTAGGTACGAGTTATTTAAGAATGTTTGTCAAATGTCAATTATGTCTAATAATGTGTAATTTTTTAGATTAATTATTAAATTCAACTAGGTTGTGAATTCTTTACAGGCGAAGGTCAGCAGTAATTAGGTATTAAGTTAATAGTGTAAATCAAACTAAACTAAGCTCATGTTGTAGTTCAACTAGTACTATGACATTTTATAAATAAAAATATTTTTAAGCTTTTTAGATTATAGACATAGATCATATTTGTTTTCATTGATGCATATAATTAGCAACTTTAGTTTTGTTATTAACAAGGCTTGTTATTTATTAATGTGTATAACAATAATTATTTCATTGAACTATATTAAAAATAAAAAACTTATCACTAATAAAAGTTGTAGGTACCTAATACATTTTAGTTTTATAAAATATGAATAGACTACCTATATTTATAAGCCCTTCAAAATAACCAATCTTACTAAAAAGTAAAAATGACAGATTCTATGAAAGGTAAAATAACATTTAATTTATTGGTGCCCTTTATTCATCAATAGTTAACATTTGATTATGATAAAGAAAAACAATTGAATTGTACTAATTAAATAAAAATGTTCATAGTATTTAAATTAAATTATCAACAAATATGCAGGGGCGGATAGGCATGATCTGACCGGCCCGGGAGAAATAGAATTTAGCGGCCCACGTGATCATATCCAAGATTTAACAAAATAATTTACTCAACTTTGAGGGAACCAACCCAGCANGAATTTAATATTACGCTATTAAAAGTTACTACTACATTTTTTGTTATTTTACTACATCACTGTATATTAAAGTGGTAATATTATATTATTTTACCATACCACTTTTATACTATATTATATTAGATTATTTTATAAAACTTATAGCACTAACTATAAATGTATAGCTGTACAAGGTAACTTGACAAATTCACTTATATTATTCTGGTTGTGCTGGTGAAAAAAAAAGTAACTAACTCTTTAAACATGTAAACATTTATCAATAAATACAAGTAGGCATGTATAATATTTTTAAACTTTTAATGAATAATGTAAATAAATAAGTATTTAATATAATATTAATATTAATTTTATTATTATATGATAAATATAATATATTATAAGATTAATAATGTCTTGAGTAGTTTATTTTGAGATGCAAATTTGTCAATAATTGTGTTATTTTCGAGTTGGTTTAATATATCTTTTTCTGTGGATATAATCATAAGTTGTTCCAGGTGTGAAGATGATAGTGTACTACGCAACCTGTTTTTGATGTATTTGAGCTTAGAAAATGATCGTTCGCAAGAAACTTGTGATATAGACAAAGTTAGTATATACTTATAAGCTAAGAATAATGAAGAATAGGCTGAACAATACAAAGAATATCTCAACAAAATTATATAACAGCAATGAATACAATTCGAACACTTGTTACAGGCATTTTCACTTATTGAATATTCTTTTTCGTCTAAATTAAAGTCATCTAAGTCATCTATATCTTCATTCTCATTTACATAACTAAAACTTATATTTTGTTTTAAAGAGTCAAATTTGTTTATAAAATCAAGAAACTCTTCTTTTAGTGAAGCTTGTGTTACATTTGGATTTATAAAATTCAATTTTTCACTAATTTTTTTCATTGCATTTTCTGGAAGCCCCTCATTTTTTATATCATCAAAGTTTTTTGGATCTAAACAAGAAATATCTGCACAAATTTCTCGAGATAAACTTCCATACCTAACTTTTATTTTATTGTTAATTGTGTCTATAATAGTTTGAAAAGTGCCTATTCTATATTCATCAATCGCTGAAATGTTTTTGAAAGAATCATCAGCCTCATAATTAAACATTTTTTTGGGAACTCTACGTCTTTTATTTGGAAATTCACTTTCAATAACAATATCAATTTCATCAAGTTCGTCATTCATATGTTCTATGAATATATTGGTTTTTTCATGAATTTCAGAAAATTCTACTTGCTGTAATTGAACTTCAGATTTTTTAATCATATTATATGCTTGTAATATGTCACAGTTCTTACCCTGGAGATATTTAGATAAAGGTCCTGTAATACTAAATATTTTGAGAAACACCATTGCTGTTAAAATTGTCTCATATTTTATGAAATTTTCTATGAATCCTGATGCTTTAGCTCTAGATTCCGAGTCATTTTGTACCGAATCTTTAATTGTTTTCATTACTTTGATAAGGTTTTTAAATAGTATGCCATTAAAATTGTTAGTGCCGAATAGTCCAAAAATTTTTTTGAGTGCTACTTCCTTCGCCCACCATCTCGTTTCTCCAATTAAATTGAGTTTCATTTTAGTAACTATATCATTCCAACGATCCATACGTACATGTGATCGTCGGATGAAACTAGCTGTGCTATTGAGTAGTTCAAATAAGTTTGCAGCATGAAGTCCGCTACTAGTGACATCTTGTAATACTAAATTTAGAATGTGTCCCACACACCATACATGCACTTGATTAGGAGCTAAATCTTCCATCTTTTTAGCGAATCCTGAGTATTGTCCTTGCATATTGCTGGCCCCATCGGTTGAATTCCCAATACAATTATTTAGTGAAATACCTTTTGATTGCAATGTTTGAACCACTAAATCAGCAAATGCTTGACCAGTTGTTGTTGTGCATTTTTTAAATCCTATAATACGTTCATACACTTTATCATTTACGTATCTTATGATTATAGAACACTGATCTGACACACTGACATCCTGCGTCGTGTCTATTTGTATAGAATACATTCTTGCTTTTTTTATTTCTGACACAATTGTTTTAGTTATAAGATCGGAACATACTTCTAAGATGTTGTTAAAAGTATTTTTGGATAAAAATGTTATTAATCCACCACCTTGTTTACTGCCTTTGTCTTTGATCTTTTCACTCTTAACGATTATTTCATGAAGGTATGATTTTAAAAGAGAGTCATATTTACTTAAAAATAAAATTATCTCTAAAAAGTTACCATGATCGATGTTTGGATTATTTAATGTGTATGCTGCCTCGTTTCTTTTTCCTCTATATGCCAAACCACATTTTCCAATGAGTTTTACAATATCAACAATTCTTTCAACAATATTTCTACGTCTCTCTATTTGTTGCCCTCTGATATCTGTGCAACCGTAAATAATCATTTTCTTAATGTCTTTACCTTCTTTTGTCATAAAATGACTATTGACACAATCTCTATGGTGAGCGGAGTTTTCGTGCTCTCCAATTCTCAAATAAATATGTTGCCAATCAGAAGAACCCTCAACAAAAGTATTTTGCTCTCCTTTTTTGCCATAAGCAATACAAATCGTGCAAAATAATTTTTTTAATTCTGTAGAATAAGATAACCATATACGTTTATTATTTGCTGAATAATAAGCTTTTTGTGGATTGAAGGGAATATTGTCGTTTGGTTGACAAGGATGAAATTCGAAGAAGTCCTCAATATTTTGATACGTTGGCTTTTTAAAATAATCAAAGGCGTCAGGTTTATTTATTGCATGTTTAAGATCAATGTCAAAATTATTTTTTCTTATTTCGTCTTCATCTAAAATATTATCTTGTTTCTTATTTTCTTTAGCCAAATAATGTTCTTCATAGTTAATTATGTTGTTATTGGGGATATTATTACTTAGTTCACCGTCAGGTCGAGATTTATAACTGTTAATTTCAGTAACCGAAGATTGAATTGGTAAAATTGCATTATCCTCTTTTTCAGTATCCAAGGATTGATTTACTAAAACTACATTATCCCTTTTTTCGACGTTCTTAAACATACTATCCAATTTTAAACATGTTTTGCTCTCTTCTAATAACTCTTTTCGTTTTTTATCTCTGTTCTTTTCTGCTCCCCCTTTTCTTTTTGATTTGTTTTGAAGCATAGTTATCTAGAATATATTATCATATATAGCGTTTAATTTTTGAAATATTTCATAAAAACATGAAACACTGACCTATATATTGGTCTTACCTATACCTTTACTCTATGTTTGGTAGGAAATAGATTATGAACTTATTGGATAATTTATGTAATACGGTTTCCAATCACTTTACTTAATTTCTCAAAATTCACATACACTTACCAACCAGAAAGTTTTTCATACAATACATAATAAATAAGCACAATATGATGTGTACCAGCTTATAGTGTAAATTATAATACGAAAATGTACCTACTTGTCTAAACTCCAAAATCCAAATAAACTGGTAGGTTGTGGTTATATATTTTTCTAGATACAGTGGTCAGTGACAACAGAAAGCCAAAAACTGAATGACGTAGAAAATAGTGTCTATACTCTATTGGCCTAATGCTTAGTTGGAAACATTTTACTGTAACGTCCTGTGTTTAATAATAATAATTATTATTTAATATTTATATTATCTAATGACAGCTGCAGTTGCGGGTCAATACGCAGTACGCATAACAATAATACCCGAAACCCGAATTCCAAGATAAACACCATTTAGCGGTGGTTAGCGCGATGATGTGAGATTAAAGTGGACTTCCCCACAGCTCAGTCATACAACGATAATTATAGACTTATGCTAGATTTAAATAAAAATATCAGTATTATAGTATTTATTTACTTTTATTTGTATGTATGTATATACAATGTACATGTATAATAATTTAATAGAAATATTTTTCATCGGCCCATTTTCGTCAATATAAGCAGCGGCCCACCGGGAAAATCCCGGTGTCCCGGTGGCCCTATCCGCCCCTGCAAATATGCTAAAAATGTATTCATATTAGGTATGTTAATAGTTTAAATGTACATCAAATTTTGCATTTTACCAAGTATACTATCTGCATTAGTTACTCATATATGACTAATCCATTAACTAATTACACTTAAATACAAAACATTATCTAATCAGTTGTTATTGTTTGTTATCTAATCAGTTGTTATTGTTTGTTATCTAACCATTTAAAATGTAATATAAACTTTTTAATTTAGGTACTTTTAGTAAGCCTCCGTACAAATATATCTAAGTAACAGTGTTTCAGTGCTAAATAAAGTAACTTAATTTACCTTTGCAGGTATCTACAATGTATAGGTAGATGTGTCAATATGTAAGGTGTAATCAGTTTACTGGCTTCAAAAAGGCTATACCTACCTATATACCTATCTCAGAAATATTTTTATTAGGTATTATTAATAAGACCGCAAAAGCCAAAATAATTGTATTATGTATACCTAGAATATTTTCATCAAAAATATAGTATTTAATGATACCTACCTACCTATTTAAATTAAAAAAACACATCATAAAAAATTGAATTCCAAAATTTTCCTGTCTAAAAGAATTAGGGTGGCCAAAATTTAAAATTCCCAGTCATTTTCATCAGTACCGGGAAAAACAAACAAAAATTAAGAAAAAATAGGAATTATTAGGCAAAATCGATTTTAATTTTTGGTTTAACACTTAAACAAATGACCATGAAACTTTCACCGAATGTATAAATTAGCATTTTCTATTCACCATACAATTCTTAATACATATATTACACATAACATGACAAATATTTTGACTCATGCTAAGACATTCTTAGCCACATACAATTTTCGATTATTACTAGTTTTTTTTTTTAAAATTAATAACAATAAAAAAAATGTTGTTAAAATTTTGAAAATGTAATACAAGATTCAGACATCCACTTTCCGATTTTTAATTATCACAATAAAGAAAATAAATGGTTAACCTTGCATTACATTTTTAGATTAAGACTATTCAATATTACCTGATTAACTAAAATGTTTGAAGTTGTAATAATATTTATTTTATATTAGGTTCATAATAAATAATAATTCTTACCGAACTATTCTGATTTGTACAATAAGTATGCAGTCTTTCACCCATTCTTGACTGTACAATTATTTGAGCTGATTTCATAGTCATAAGTTTAGTTAGGTGTTCCATTTCTTGCCTTTCTTTCTCAGCTGATTCAGTTAATGTGCGTGTATCCACCATTTTTAATTTTTTACTTATGCGTTGATAGAAAAAAAATTTAAAATTTAACCATGATCACTTATTCAACACTAATTTAATATAAAATTCACACATGGACAAACTGTTAGTATTTTTGAACATCTAAACTGTCTTTGTTTTAAAATTATTATTTGCGTCACTGTTTTCTGCATCTTGCAATGATCTGAAACATTTTAATTTATATTAATATACTTCAAAGTTGAAATCTTATCAAACGATTATAAATCAGTTAGCAGTGGGGCATATTTCCATTTTTTTTTCTCTCGTAAGAATGCCATACACGTATACATTGTCTCCATTTTACAAGAGCAAATTAACTATTTTAAAATACTCATAACTCACTTCAAAATTAAAATAAAAAAAAAACTGTCATCAACTAGATAATATTCTTTATTTCTAAATTTGGTAATAGGTCAATTTACTCTAAAATCAAACACAACAGAGTTAAATGAATTATTCAGAACATAGAATTTGTTATGTTATACATTTGTAGGACGGAGACAATACGAGACAATTACAAGTATGGGGCCCTATTAAGATATTTTTTGCCCAAGAAATATAAATCTATGGCACAAACAAAGACCGGTTTTCTAGGAAAGTTTCTGATTTCTAGATATGCTAACTTTTGATTCTTGTACATTTTACATAATGCAGCTTACTTGAATTATCAATGTTACCTATAAAGATAAAATGCATATTCAACATAATTTTTATAATAACTATAAAACCATTAGGGATATGGCACAACCACTGAGTATTTGTAATCTTATATTTTAATTTAATTTTTGAAATCATAGTATAGGTTAACATTAAATAGCTGACCACAAAAACAGATTGAAAGAAGTAATTTGTATGATAATAAATTTATTTTTGTACACATAGGTAGGTATACATTATCAATTTACATATTATACTTTTTATACAAAACACCTTTCGTTATTACTTGTTAGTTATTACCAATGAGTATGTATAGGTAGATATGATTTAAAAATAAATCATATTTATTGCAAAATCTTTAGGAAGTATAAAAAAGTGAATTGATTATAATTTAATAGTATTGACGTAACAGCCAAGTTCAAAGAGAAGTTAATTAACCTCAAAGATTTATCTTAAATAAAATACAAATAGGCAGGTATATAAAATAGTATAATTAGTACACATATAATGGTACATTCTCAGATCTATTCTTAACAGGCAAACAACATGTTTAAGACATACCAATATAGTATAGGTAAACTGACAATGTTTGTTTCAAAATATTTTTTTATACAAATAAAAATCTTAAGCCCTAAGGCTGTTTAACATATAATAAAAATTATTGAATTGATTTTCAAAAGTACCTATAAACTTTTGAGAATTATAATTGGGTTTTAATATGAATTTTTTATTATGGGTTCAATTTGAATAACTCAGTATCATTGGTAGATAAGTAGTAGGTAGGTTAGGTACTCAGTGATTGACATTTAATAAATATTTAATTTTCATAAAAGTATGACCTAGACTTATTTATTTTGCCCTGGCAGTTTTCTATTTATCTGATAGTTACTAGGTAGGTACAACTACCTACTTAATTAAAATATAAATTTTCGCTAAAAACTAAAAACGAGTCTAAAAAATAATGATCAACAATAACAATTATAAAGTTATTGTTTTAACTTACTCATACTATTATAATTATTATTCCCTATTCTCAGCCTCAAATAAGAACCCTCTGACGGAGACTTATTTTAGTTTAGTTTATTTGCACTACGACCATCAATTAAATTGGTTTATGTCCAGCTGTTTATAGCCAGCTTTCATTTCTGACAATTAAAAGCAAGAAAGCAAAAAAAAAGGAAAAAAATTGCTTGGAATATAAAAAAAACCAATAGTAGTTTGTAGGTACAAATACTTGTTCTTCACTATCAGATTTGATACTAATAATCTCAACACTGAAATGTTTATTTATATAATTTGCTAACTATTCATTAAATTGGCTCATCTTTGCTCCGATCCACATAAAACATTTCATAACAATCAAAGCCTAAAAAATATCTGCGCTCAACCTGGAAATTTCTACGAACACTAAATACTCATCACTAAACAGCAGATTATATCTTAAAATATTTAACTTAGTATGTAGACATATTACATTTTGGTAGTAAACTAATAACTATTTAATGATTTATTCTAATCAACTAACATTTTGTTATAAATTTGACATTTATTAAATGCTGTTATTACCTACTACTCCTAGATATTTATTTTTCAATTAGAACATAAACAAAGTTGACTAAGACTAATGGGCATAAGTGTAAGTAATTAGTTTTTGAATAGATTGTTAAAATTCCATTGTCATAGGCAGTTACTTAATTACTGCAATTAATCATGTAAGTTAGTAAAAAAAGTTATATCAGTTTTTTACACATTTAAGCTTCTATATAGATGTAGGTAAAAAGATTAAATTTGTTAGTACCTAGCTAAAATTATTTTATGTTTGGTAGTTTTAGTAAGTAGGTACATATCTTAAGCGATTTTTTTTAAGCTTAATCAATATTAAATATTACATTATTATTATTACATAATTTAGAGGTAGGCATAGGGGAGTAAACAGTAGGTATGGTAAATTAAATCATCAGTGAAAGGTTTGCAGTACTTCTCCGGCACTCATGTTCATCGTTGTACGATTTAATAATTCTCATCAACTTAATTATGACTTGATGTTAAAGAGTTAACATATTATAATATTAAATTTATTAGTACCAAACTACAACAAATTTAAGTATAGATGTATAGGTAATTTATAATATATCTGAAGTTAAAAAAAAAACAGTACTAAATTCACCAAAATATAATTTTTGAACTAGTCAATGTTTTATTTGATAAAGATGAGTAATGTTCACGACAAGGAACACTGTATTTGATATACATGATAAAATATCATTCATAAGTAAATTCAAGGGTAAATGGTTAAATAGTTCCTATATTTTTTATTAAAAATTACCAAACAATCGCTGAATCAGGCGGTATCAGGTATATTTGTGGTATCTAAGTATTTAGATTACTTTACATTAAATACCATATGCGACATTGTATCTATTAGATAATAAACCTAACATTTATATGCTGCAATACTTGCTATATTTTATGTTTTGTACTAATTTTTAAAAATAATATTTATTTTCTCTAAACTCGACTAATGGTCAATAATTCTATTGTAAAAATTGTTTATATTCTAGTTATTATCCCAAAAATTCTTGTTTAATATCTTTGTTAATATTGCTCGACAGTTAATCTACTCACTCCAAAATATGTCTATTATTCCCGTTTAATAATATAAAAATGTTTCTGGATTTACATTAAGAAAAAAATAAGGTAGGTAATTACAATTTGTTACTTAGTTTTTACTTTAGGTATATATTTTTGGCTAAGTACCTGTCTACAATTAATGGTTTAAGAGGAGTTTAGTTGAAACTATTAATAACAATAGAGATAACAATATGACTGGTGTCTTCAAAAAATAAAATTATCAGATAGGTAGTTATATCCGATCTTATATCTATTAAATAATGATAAAAGTACAACTTACTGAGAACTATTTCTTTGTTTTAACAAATTTTTACTTTTTTTTACAGTTTATAGGAAAAATTATTTTAGTTTATGCAAGTTAACATTTAGATATGAAACATAATTTTAAATTTATAAAATACCAGCATAAAATTATGTATTATGCATTCATACAAGGTCACAGCTGTGAAAATATAGTTACCTACCTATTTATATCATGAACAAGGTTATAATATCATACAGCTTGATATAGGTGGTTGTTAACTTGGTGATTAAATCACGACAATAGTTTCTTCGTTCTTTCAACTAGATTTCTAAAAGGACTTATAAAAAAAAATAGAAATATATCTCATTTATAGGTAAGTAGGTACAGTAAAATATAAATGAAAAGTCCAAATATGTACTTAAATCTGATTTTTAGTGTTTCATTTTGATAGGTACTTTATTTAAAATGTATTAAGTAAAATAATTGTTTAGTTTATTAAAAACTACCTATATTTTAATGTTTATAACTCGGAACCTACACATTATTAAGGGGTACATACATTACTACTTAATACTGAACACAATTCAAATTTGATTTTATAGGGGTATTATGTATAAAAGTGAGTTTAGTTTAGACATATAGGTATTTCCAGGGGTAATTCCTGAATTACCATTCTTGTAACTACTTAATTACCACATAAAGATATTTCTTTCAAATTACCTAGTTACATGTTTCAGTTTTAAGTAGTTATATATATATTTTTATAGTAGGCAGGTGGGTACCTAATAGAACAACAGATATTTTGAATACGTATTGTAGTCATATTATGTCAAACTACCATCAAATTAATTATATGAGGTAGGTAATCAGGGTATATTATATTCATAGCAAATTATATTATGATAAGTATACAAATGACAAATTTCTAAATATTACCTATTAAGCAAGCAGGTAGGTATTATAGAAACGTTCAGTAGATACTTTAGTTTAAACCTACCCACCTAAATATCACAAGCTAATATCAGATTAAAAAAATAATGATAGGTATGATCGAAGTAGGTATTTTATTGTCATTGAACAGTAGATATGTAGGCAGTCATGAAATCAGCTGTGCTGTATTATGTATAGATTTAAAAAAAATGCATTTAACACAACATGTTGTGCAATATAGGTACTATCCAATGGAATGCAGGCATTCTAGACATTATATTTTATGAATTGTAAACATTAAACAACTGTGATTTTAACTAAATTACAATATTAAAACATACATATTAGGTACAATTGAACTTGTTACCTAGTTATTTAGCTATATTTTGTCAACGCATCATACTGGGATCCTTAATCGGTAGAATTTACACTGTGATAATATTACTCAATTTGTATGGAGACGATTAAAATGCGAAAGTCTAATATTCTAATTTCCCCCTCCCAAAAAAAATCTGCTTGGAATCTAGAAATTATTATCTCAGAAATTCTTTATTTTGGAATGAAACATTTACCAGACATCCAGACGTGTGGGTAGGCATATCCGTGGGTCTCACAAAAAGTCTACCTACCTACCTAGGTACCTACCATCTGTTTTTTCCTCGCTGACCATTTCATCTTACACCATCGAGGTAGGTATAGTGGGCACGGATATAATTACAGTAAATATAAGATAGGGCAAGCGATATAAGGGCGGTACTCACTGGTCGACGTTTCTTATGATATTATTCCTGTAAGGTGCGCCACCGAATCCGCAGAGGCACGACGGGGACGACGATTGGCTTTTTGGCGCCACGACTGTCGACGACACGCACGCAAACCATGTAGACGGCGACCGAACGACCGAACGATCGAACGACAGCAGCCTGCTGCGGGACACACTCACGCGCGCGCTCGACGATACAAAAAATAACTTTTGGCAGCGGAAGAGCGTCAACGCGAATTCGACCGCGGGAAAACGAAAATAATTGTACAGAACTACAGAACGTCGTCACTGCGGGGCTGCGTGCACCGATCAACGGCGTCGTATCGAGTTGGTGGGTTTACGCGGTATCTTCGCTGAGCGTCGGTGGTCGATGGCACTCCGTACCTATTTCCGTAGGAAGTGAATAATATTATCCGTGTCAAATGTCGATGTCATTCACGTTATCACACACACACGATTATTATACCCGCGACATAAGGCGTGCACGTCGTTTTGGTTTTTATTTTTAGACGGTTATAATAATAAATAATAATTTATAGATATTATATTCACGACGATAGTGTCGAACACTATGTAGAATGTACGCGCAGACGGGCGGCGGACGAGGTCTAGACGGTCGTGAAAAACATGCTCGTTTGCGCCATCGTCGTCGATACACGCGGATAACCAAAGTGCGTGCGCCAGTGGTGGGGGGTGTGTCGGTGGACGGTGACGTGACGACGACTACGGCGGTGGCGGGATCGGGGAATCCTAGTCTGTCGACTGGGCGGGGCAAGGAGGCGAAAAAAGGAGGAAAATAATAATAATAATAATAACAATAATAATAATAATAATAAAATTGGCCAGCGCGACGGGCGGATCCGCAGCCGAGTGCATGACGTGGTGCACGCCGTCGGAAATTCCGCGCGAGCCTCAGACGACCGCGTTGCTCCAATCGGTGGCCGTTACGTCACGCGGCAAAAATTTTTTAGCGCGTGGTGGTCAATGGTCTTCGGTCACGAACTCACGACGACCACCGCTTCAGCTCGCTTGTCGCTTGGGCTGTTGTCCAGTGCCCACGAGGCCGATCGGTATTCAGTGTCCACTATTTCAATATTCTGTGGTCACTATACTCGCTCTGTAGCTGGGTAGCACGACATAGTTGTAACCCAACAGACCGAACACATTACACAAGTTTACCCGGTTTAAAAGTCTTATACTTGTACTGCTATTTCAATAGCCTATTAAAAATATATATTATATTAATATACGTTAATATATATATTATGTATAGACTCAAGGCCGTTATGATGTTTAGAATTTTGGCGCCCATGGGCACTTATAAAATGGCACTCCTCTTTTATGTAGAAGGGTGGTCCGGCGTAGAACAAATAACAATTATAAATTTAGAACTTTATATGTAAGCATATGAAATTATAAAAATATAGCCTTACCTACTTGTATTTTATACATAGTCTATAGGTATATAATAATATAATGTTGTAATTCACGATTCATAGTAATGTGTACCTGCACTCTGCAGATATTTCACACTCTTACCACTTGAAAGTCAGAAAGTAACTCTAATAATGATGAAGATACTTTCTTTATTTCCACTAAAAATATTATATTAAATAATTTGGCTGGCGAAACAAAAAGTCGTAAAAATGTACTTCCACCAAAGTTCCACTTGGTGAGAAATTATTACGCTTCATTGACCAGTGAAGTTACTTTACCGTATATTTACACTGTAAACAGATAATTGGACCCCGGAAATGACGGAAACAACAACAGTACCTACAAGGCTACACACGAATATTCGAAACAAAATTAATTTCTGTGTCATGCCGATATTTTATTGAAGATTTTTTTTATTCCAACAATACATTTAAAAAATAGTAATTAATTATTAATATATATCATGCAGTGTCACTGACAAACGCGGTGTATCAGCAGTTGAGGTACATTTTTCAATAGAATAAAATATAAGATACGAATAATTTTGATCGGTTATAAACTTATAAATTATAATCTAGACTAACTGTTTTTGGCAAACCGTTTGAACTATCATATTATGATCTACATTCTTCATCTATTAAATAATACAATTATGACCGGGCCAATCGTCCGCATATGAAATTTTTTTGTGGTGACCGATATTATTCTAAATCAGGTCTATGACCTATGTTTAGTATTGTGTATTTGTGTACATTCAACGTCACATACGACCAAGCCTATATAGATGTAAACAAAATAGTAAATTCCCAGATGATGACGTTACAAGATAAATAATCATAACATGCCGTATAACTGGTTCTAAGACCTGGTCGCATGAGATAAATTACTACTATTTATTATTTTGATAACGATTCTATATTCGTATGTACTATGTTGTAATTGTAGGCTGAGTTAATTTAGTCAAATTTCTTTGAGGGGGGAGGGGGGCTGACTTGCTAAATTGTTTTGCACCTGTTATATAGGAGTAGGCATTATACCCACCACTTGTTCGTTAATGACGTCATGTCGTCATGACATCATTGCTTTCATTACAGTCCAAGACCCTCAATAACTCTATATTAATATTTTATATTATTCGTAAGGTACCTATGTAATACAAGGTAATAGTGATGTACTAATGTAGGTACTTGTTAGTAGTTACTAAGTACCAAGTACCTACCTTTTTTTAGAATCTTACATATTATTAGGTATATTAATAAATTAAAGATGGCACGGACACATGGGAGCATACTCGTCAGTTAGTAGGAAAAAATGACCACCGAAAAAAACCCAGTAAACAATTCAACGGAAATAAAAGTTCATGTGATAGCTATGTTTTATGTATTTATACTATAATCTAATGAATTAGAATATTTTGTCATACTATTGAAGTATTAAACATAATATATATCTATTTACATTTTGATTGGATAAACTGAAAAAACGGATGAGATATGATAGACTTTATAATATATACTAAGGTCTGTGTAAAATATGTACCTAACGGCTAACATTGTTTTTGTTTTGTTTGGAAATAAATAAATAATAATGTACAATGTACCTTTCAATAAATTGCATACCTATTCATGATTGAACAATAAAATGATAATGACTTTCATTATTGACATTTTGAATGGTATGAGAATTAAGGCTTGAACAAAGTTCAGGTTACTTAATTTATATTGTTGTGTACCTCTTGCATCTTAAATTCTTAACCATTACACACGATTATTTGCACAAGTATAACGGAAATGAAACAAAATAAACTTATAGAGCTCATAATTAAAATGTTATAAAAATAATTATATATATGACATATATGGAGAATTATTTTTATAATATTTTAATTTATAAAATTTGTTCGGTGTTTTCGTCCACAATTCATACACATGGAATATGAAAGCAGGATTCGGAACTAATGACTTACAGAAATTGAATCATATCCGTATTTGTAACTGTTTTTATTTTGATAATTTTATGTAAGATTCTGTATGGTCGTGAGAAAACTGTTTTTTTAGATTAAGTTTTTTGATTCTGTCAGCCTACATTTCTAAAAATATTTTATTAATTTACTGAACATATTTAATATTTATAAGTGTATTGCTATTACCTATTAGTAGTACATTAAATTAATAAGTTTAATATAATCTGTGGTATTGTGGTATAGGTTGTATCATTGATTATAAATACTATACAGTCCGTGTGTTCCTAAATTCATCAGATTGGTCAGCCGCTGGAGGGGAGGTAATCAAGCCGATTGACTTATCAGCAATCTGCTATTCTAAAGGATGGACTGAAATGAAACCCGATGGATTTGATAACAATATGCAAACGTTTAGGAACACACGGAGTATATAGGTACCTACTACATACTACAGAGTTTTTACCTTTTAGTACTAGTTAGACAGTTGTTATTATTTGTTACACTGTCGGTCCGTCTATATTATATTAATAAGGCTCTTTATTAACATATTCAAATTTCAAATACTTTTATTATATTAATTACATTAAAACTTGAAACAACGAACAACGGTCTTTATTTCTTTAATACGACATTGTTGTTCAGTTGTTCTATATTTAATATTTATCAGTATTTTAAATTATTTCGTAGTTGCCAGTTGGTCACATTGCAATTAACACGACTGCAGCTGCTGATTATCTCTCACTGTATTGTTATCACTTCCTGTTTCTATGTTTTTCTGGAATTAGGATACATTTCCCGAAATGTCATGTTATCCTATAACACGGTCTTCTTATGAAAATAGGCTTCTTGCCTTCTTGTAGTATTACTAGAATTCCATTCGAGACTGTTGATTTTCGTGTTGTTTGGTATAGCGATCTAAACACGGTAATTATATCATTTTAATAATAATGGACTTTTTGCTCAAGTACAGGAACATGACGAAGTATTTTCTTACAGTGAAACGTCTAGCTTACCAAGTCTGAGTTTGCATATCATTTGTCCCATAACTATGGTCTAGTGGAAGTTTCAATTTCCTTTTTTTTTTCAAAAATCGTCCTCATCCATCTGGAAGCTTCAGTTTTCGTTTCGGGATTCGGGTCCATCCGACAACGGAATAATTTATAAATTTAATTATTTACAGAAATCGTGTTGTGGACGGGACCGGTTGATTTCGATAACCGTAATCTATTCAACGCTTATCACTTACAACCAGATAATAGTAAGTTATACTCAGCCACTTAGGTATAAGGTCTATGATTCTACATCGTGATTTTAGGAATTGTTGTTCATACGTAACAAACCATATCGATTTTTCAGTTAATTTTATTATGGAGCTTAAACTTTTAATTCGATAATGGAAAAATTAGAGAAGAACAGGACTGACGGTAATGATCAGTGAGAATAGGGGGGGGGGGGGTGCAATTTTGTAACTACATATAAACATATTTATAACAATGGTTATAAATACGGTAGGTATTTAATTTTATTTAGGGAGTGCATAAAATATCTAAAGATGTATCTTCAGAACTTTTCTTAATATGAAAAAAAAAAATACTAAATATTAGATGACTGCAGAGTGAAAAAATGGATTTGTACGATATTCCATTCGCCGAAATTCCAATGCTCGTCATTTTATGGTAACCGGACAGGCTGACACTATTGCTGCTCGGAGGGTGGCGGACCACACCAGCAGCACAGCCTCCTATCGACTTTACGACGTATCCTCCGTAAAGCCGATAGGAATGACTTGCGTTTTTCCAGCTTTACTTGTCTTGTTTCCAACAACGTTACAATATCGGTCGACGAAGTTGTCTCCGACGGCTGTTCTGCACAGGGAACGCTTCCTGCACCAGATTGATCTAAGCCTGTTGTTTCGTCTACCGTTGCAGTTATTTTCCGCGGAGCCTCGTCCTGTCTTTGGTAGGTTGACTCGGTCTGCAAATCATCTGACGCTGTTTCCAAACGTGACGGACGACCATTAGTCACACGGAGGACAGGATTTCTCACAGGGTTCCAAATCGTAAACGCTTCCCACGTCTGTTCTACAGTCGATCTAAATATCATATTTATTGATATTTGCACCGCAGCAGATCTGCGGGCACTTGTCTAAGACGTCGGATAAAACAAGCTTAGCATTTTTACGGCGTTTTTTCCATAAAATCAGGACGACAGGTCTCGTCTCCAGCACCGTTACAATATCCGGTCGACGAAGTTGTCTCC